CGTTGATTAATTATCCAACGATTGTTTCCTGATGAGATGTTGGTTGAAAGGGCCTTAGAGACTTTTAAAATTAAAATCAATACATTCCTTGTTTTTAAAACTATATATAAATTTTGTACCTCTAAGTATTTGTATATATATATATATATATATCTTTTAAAATGAGGTGTAAGTGTTATTTTCATTTTTGCGTCATTTAGACGTCATCTTATCCATCGCACCCTGTGTATATGTTTGTGTGTGTGTGTGCGTGCGCGCACGCGCGTGTGTGTGTGCGTGCGCACACGCATGTGTGCGTGTGTGAATTTGCGTGTGGTATAATTCACAGTGGTTCGAAATGAGAAATCCGAGTACGAATTTCTGCTGAGTTGGTTACATTCACTATCCTCATCAAATTGTTAATGCCACATCCACTCGGAAAGAAATTAATTATTCTTAAAATGCAAAATAGGTTTCAACTTTAAATAATCCGCAAAGCTATGATAAGCATTGATAAAAAATAAATTAATCAATCAATTCGCTCTCTCTCCCTTCCTCTCTCTCTCTCTCTCTCTCTATATATATATATATATATATATATATATATATATATATATATATATATATAAAAAAAATATCTAACAAATATATATAAGAAGTGAAACTATGATGACACATTATATTACTATTTGACAAAACAAAATATTTATTTTCAACATAATCTCCTTCTTTCTTCCCTCATTCCAATGGTGAATATTATTTTGTTCATCCTAAGTGAACATTCTTGCTGTGGAATTATTGAGGCTCAGGCGGATAGATAGATAGATAGATAGATAGATAGATAGATAGATAGATAGAGAGAGAGAGAGAGAGAGAGAGAGAGAGAAAAATAAATAAATAAATAAATAAATAAAGAAAGAAAGAAAGAAAGAAAGAAAAATAGAGGGTGTTTTATAAGAGAGAAAGATATGCATAAATAGGAGGAAGTCTCGTGGAAAGAAAGAAAGAAATGCATGAAAAGTAAAGACTATAAAGGATTGAAAGAAAGAAAGAAAGAAAGAAAGAAAGAAAGAAAGAAAGAAAGAAAGAAAGAAATGCGTGAAAAGTAGAGACTATAAAGGATTGAAAGAAAGAAAAAAGAAAGAAAGAAAGAAAGAAAGAAAGAAAGAAATGCATGAAAAGTAGAGACTATAAAGGATTGAAAAAAAGAAAGAAAGAAAGAAAGAGCGTGGATTTAAAAATCAACACTCCATGGTAACTGTCAGATTAATATGAGTACATCATTTAGTTTTAATCTAAAATTATTTTCGAGCACTAACTGGATTGATTTGCAATGTTTTTATGAATGCTGTAATTACGTTATCAATTTATATAGAACACTTTCTTAAAATGTTTTATCGTCAGTTGTTTGAAGTAGAAAGAGTGATAATTTGAAATTAATAAAATACGCAGAAAAATACCGTCTTATTAAAATAAAATATCATATATAAAAAAATCAATTCTCTCAAAACAATATCTTTTTAGATAAACCGTTTTAGCATCTGATTATTTGTAAAGCTTATTTTCTCTGACTTTCTTGTTTCATAGGCTGTTAAAAATAATATATATTAATATTGAGTGCTGATCAGAAAACCACATAAATGCAAAATTCCAAGTTTATTTTTTTATATTTCAAATGAAATTTCTAACGATTTTCGCTTTAATATACTACAAGAATTGACCGGATTTTTTTTAATATGACGTTATATTATAACTGACTACAAAAATGGCATCAAACTGTAAAAAATATAATTTAAAAGACAATATAAGTTTAAGTAATTAGAAACAAAATAACAAACCTTCATAATATCTGTGCAAATTTTTCAATTACTGTAGCTATTCAGTATCAAATATGTGTTTTCCCTGATCCGTCTGCTGTATTTCTTCTATTAGGAAAGGAAGTACGCAAAGGAAGAACGAAAAGGGGGAAAAAAAGCTTTCAGTTTGGTTCTAGTAGCAACACTTGCCTCTGAACTACACGACTTCAGTCCTGCATCCGTATGAACCACAGTCGAGAAGTCTGGTCGTAGGCTTGTAAAAGCCGCAAACTCTAATTTCATTGGCCAACGGAGGATATCATAATTTTGATGAGTGTCCGGTCAACCTATTAACACTGCTCAATTTTTCATGTAATTCGAGTGTATATAACTAAATTGTGAAAACCGCATTTTGCAACTTCATTCATCCTCTCATTGATTGATTCATTCATTCCTTCTTCCCTTCGATTTTTGCCTGCATCAGACCATCTTCGTTGAGTTCCCGAGGGAGCGAGTCCGACCGACACTTGTTAACAGTCGATTCTTCACCAACAGACAAAACGGCTGTGTAAAGTCTTTCAACGGACAATAGCGTCGATGTATACAAAACCAGTACAGGTAAGTAAAACGAATCGTTGGTTCCGATTGGGTCTCTAGGTGACGGCGACAATTGAATTTCAACAGCCATGCTTTTAGACAAGGCTGCCATCAAAACAACGTTTGCAAGTCCCAACGGAAAGCACGAAGTTGAATAGACTGACGCCATCTTGTTCCATACGAGATGATTGCCGGCTGAAACGCTGCAACAAATAATCAGAAACAAATAACAAAGTTAAGCCACCTTTCCTCCGTCTGATAGGGAAGCTTTCGATTGCTTGTCAGAAAGAAAGACCGGACTGAGGTGTCATATTCTCAAATAAATATCGTTTTCTTCAAAAAGAATGTTTAGCGCATTGTTGGGCATTGACAAACCGTCACTGATAAAAAAGGGAAAAGATTCAAACATATTCCTTTTGAATTTCTAGGAAAAGTAAACGAAGAAGGATACATTTTGGAGAATAAATGTAAAAAAAAACATACTATTGTGAAGCAATAAAGGAAAATGTAATTGAAGAAGAAGAAAGAAAGAAAGAAAGAAAGAAAGAAAGAAAGAAAGAAAGAAAGAAAAGGGGGTAGAAAGAAGAACGAAGAGGAAAGAAGAACAAAGAGGAAATAAGAATGAAGAGGAAAAAAGAAAGTATAGGAAAGAAGAAAGGAGAAAGAAAAAGAAAACGAAAGCAAAAGATAGAAGAAGAAAAAAGAAAGAAAAAGAAAAAAGAAAGAAAAGAAGAAGAAAGTAGACGAGAGAATAAATTAGTGAAATGAAATATGTTTGAACAGAAGATAGCTATATAATGATCAGAGATAGCGTCGAATCCTGTCGGTACTCCCACATTTTTTAAAAACAACTGGAAGATCAGAGATGGGAGCCTAGGTGTATACCAGGCCGCCACTCGGTCACTATCAAAATTGTAGTATCTGTTCCGCGGCCTTGTCCAGCCATGACAAGCTTTGTGCTTAATACCGCGTAAACGGAGGCTGGGCAAATAATTTGTCACATATGTCCGTCTTAGGTGATTGTCACGTTTTGCAATTCACCTATCTATTTGATGTAAGCGGCATAGTGTGTTGAGCTAGATTGTAATTCGTCTTTTATCTGTAATTTCCATTGTTTGACTGTAACAAGTCAAAAGAAGGGTTATTTGCGCACGACTCGTCATTTCCAATCAGCCCCGGCTCAGCCCTAAATGCTCTGCTGCCATAACTCATCGAAAACATTACTTCAATCTCTAGCGATGCAATCCAGCCCTCACTGCATTCAGAACTGCCCGCAATCACTGTCAAAAGTTCTAAAAACGCCAAGTGCAGATACGCACGAGAAGTTCAGCCGATGCTTGAAAAGAAACAAATTGGGTTCCATGAATTCTGAAAGATTACCAACCAAATCATGAACAGAGGTAAAGCGGTTGAGCCTACAATAATAAATGACCCCGATGTCATATCTCCCTCGACAGATAAAGCGAAATTCTTCACCTCCATCTTTGATTCTAACTAGCTAGATGACAAAGACTATCCCCTCCCCAAGTTCCCACATCTCTCTGAACACAATTATAAATATTACCATCACTGCACGAGAAATCTCCAGACTTATTAAAAACCTTGACCGTAAGAAATCCACTGGTCTAGAAAAAATTTCACTGGTTGTCCTTAAGAACGTCAACCCAGAATTATCCCCAATCCTGGCAAAGTTATTCAACTTTTGCTTGAAGGATAAGTCCTTCCCAAGCCTGTGGAAAATGTCATACGTATGCCCAGTTTTCAAGAACGCGAGGTGCGATCTTCCCTCTCCCAGTACAGAATCATCACTGTCCTCAGTATTATGAACAAGATCTTTGAGGACATCTTGAGGACAATAAGAGGGTCATCGCGAACCTAGAAAAAAACCTCTTCAGTGAAAAGCAGTTTTTGATCCACTGCCGATGTCCTAACTACCATCACTGACAGAATCGGTGAGGATCTGGACGACAAACAAACCTCGAGGAACATAGCACTAGATATGTCAAAGGCCTTCGACAAGGTGTGGCCCAAAGGCTTACTACACAGCACTCCATTTATGGAACCACGGGAATGGTTTTCTCGAGCATAAAATCCTTCCTAACAGTTAGGTCCATGAAGATAGTTATCAATGTCCAGTCCTCTTGAGCCTTAGAGGTCAACGCAGGCGTCTCTCAGGGATTACTTCTCAGACCATAGTTCTTTTTTTGACTTGCCTAAGAATATACTCAGATCATTTGTAAACATCTTTGCCGATGATACAATCATATAGGGGCGCACCTTTGGAACTCTCGATGGTCGGAGACTGGCAACTGATCTCTCTTCCGATCTTGCACAAACTACTCAATTGGGTAAAAACTGGCTGGTTACATTCAATGACTCAAAGATCAAGTTAGTTACATTCCATCATCACCGATCTGCCCCGGAATACCGCCAATCATGATGAACGGGGGTCCTCTCGAGGAAGCATGCGCCTTAAAAAATTGTTGGGCCTCAAAGTCACACCCGACCTCTAATGGAACTCGTACATACAATCCATTGCTAAGGATGCAGGTAAGATGGTCGGTTATCCAGTAAGTACCTGACTCCTCCTGCTATCCTCTATCTTTACAAGAGCTAGATCAGGACTGTTGTCATATTTGGACAGGAGCTGCCCAGACCTCAGTCCCCAGCCTTGAGTTCAAAAGCGTCTCCGAGCACTTGTGGCTGACGAATCATTCTCTACCCTTCAGCCCCTTTCCCACACGCGGGATGTGGCAAGCCTCTCGCTGCTCTGCCACTATATCCACGGAAGATGCTCAGACGAACTATATTCCCTGGTCCCGCCGAGGCAAACCTTTACAGCAAGAACACGCCATGCCACTTACACAGTAGCAAACTATCCACATTCCCTTCGTATTCCGAGAAGTAAGTTCCACTCAATAAGCTTCTTCCCGCGGCACTAATGAACTGGGGTATCGACTCCCAACATGAAGTTCCCTTCATCACTACAATCGTAACCTGTTCCACTATACACAAAAATATCCCTCAAACGTAACCCTTTACCTCCGCTGTAACCCAGCCCTTGTAATTGGTGAATCTTGCTGTAAAAATAAAAAAAGTTAACCTGCGTTGATGCTAAATTGATTCAGGATATAAAGAGGCCTGAAAGCAATGCAAACATGGCTTCGCAGCCCATATCCTGAGAGGATTATCTCTCAGTTGCGACTTCGTCTTCGTATATAGTGCATCTCAGTCACGGCCTTTGACTGCAGAGAATCGCAGTTGAGGAAAATAATACTTTGAGGTTTCTGGCCCCTGGGCAACAGCTGTCCGAGGCTGAAACCTCTCATTGCACTAGTGAAGGGGATCAGTGTTCGCCAGCGCAACCATCAGTTGCGGTGGGTTGAAGAATTTTTGTAGATGGCCCAAGTCTAAAAACTCGGGTTCATAACTGTCTTTGCGCTCCATACCCTGGGACGTTTATCATCACTCTGTTGCGTCTCTGTCTTCGGGTAGAGTTTGCCTCAGTTGTGTCCTCTGTCTGCGGACAAAGTTGCAACTGAGGAAAATAATACTTTGAGGTGTCTGGCCCTGGAGGACAGCTGTCTAAAGCTGAACCCTCTCATTGCACTAGAAAGGGGAATGGCTGATCGCCACAAAGGCCAGAGGAACCGACCTGTCGGTGGAAAGGCATGGTAAATACCAATATTCCGCGGTCTAGAGGCGATGATCAAAGTTTAGTATCTGTTCCGCACCTATGACCAGCTAAGACAAGCTTTGCGCACAATCACGAACAAGCGTGGGCTGGTAAAATTTTGAACAATTTTGACGAATGACTCGAGTGTACGAGCTCGGGTTCACCACGCTAAATAACGTGTTGGGGTGACATCGATAAATAGCTGTGTTCCTCTACCCAGGTGACTAGGATAAAAGTGTAGTATCTGTTCTAGCCGACCGCCAGCCTACAGCTCTCGGCCATCAGCAACAGCAACAGTTAGTTAGCCATCACCATCTCCAGCTTGCTATAGGCCGTCGCTCCTGACACTTCAGCCTTCTCGGGATACGAAACTGTCATTCACGGAACATCTACGCTCTAGCGAGCACGAAATTGTACTTCTCGTTACATCTACTCCCCTAGTGGCAACGAAACTGTCCTTCTCAGGACATTTACTCTCTAGCGACCACTTTCTCTTTCCGTCTTTCTCTCTCTCTCTTTATATATATATATATATATATATATATATATATATATATATATATATATATTTTATTTATTAAAGACATTTTTTATGTTTAACGTTGTTATTTTATAGATACAAGTATTTAAGCAAATGCTCTGTTTATGATAAACAGTATTAAATAACATTTACCGGCCTGAATGTCCGAGAAATTTTCATAGAAAATATTCGTTCTTTGACATGTGGCCTGACGATTGCATATAGCATGAAACAGACTGTCGCCTCTAAGTGTTGACCTCTATGTTCACTTTTTTATATTTACACACGCTCTATCTCTGATATTGAGCACTTTATCCCATAAATTTAGCGCACCTTAAGACTATATTTCTTTATATATATATATATATATATATATATATATATATATATATTGCTTCTATTAATACCTATACGCGACTGGTATTAAAAAACGGATAATACAATTTGCAAATAAAAATATATTTAAACAAACTGATATCTGGGGAAAAATTTGGAAAAAAAAATAGAAAAGAAAGATAAAAGAAAGAAGAGGGAAAGGAATGCATAAAATGTAGAGGGTATAAACGACAGTAAGAAAGAAAGAAAGAAAGAAAGAAAGAAAGAAAGAAAGAAAGAAAGAAAGAAAGAAAGAAAGAAAAGTATAGGGTATAGAGGATTGAAAGAAAAAAGAGAGATAGAGAGAATTAGAAGTGAAAATAAAATTCGAAAGAAAGAATGGGAGAAAAACAGTCGGAAAGAAAGAAAAAATATTTATTGAAGAAAGAAAGAAAGAAAGAAAAAAGAAAGAAAGAAAGAAAGAAAGAAAGAAGAAAGAAAAATGAAGAGAGAAAGGAATGCATAACAAATAGAGGGTAGAAAGACAGAAAGAAAGAAAGATAAAAGAAAGAAGGAAAGAAAATAAGATAAAAGAAATAAGAGAGGAAGAAATGCATTAGAGATAAAGTAGAGATTATAACGAATTGAAAGAAAGAAAGAAAGAAAGAAAGAAGAGATAACGAAATACATAAATATAGCGATTATAAAGGATTGAAAGAAAGAAACAAAAGAGTACGAAATGCATAAAAGTAGTCAGTATAAAGAAAGAAAGAAAGAAAGAAAGAAAGAAAGAAAGAAAGAAATGTTGAGTAAGTAAGAGAAAAAGAAAAGCATAAAAATAGGGTGGCTAGTGAATTGAAAGAAAGAAAGTGTTAAATAAGTAAAATAGAAAAAGGGCATAAAATTGGAGAATATGGAGAAAGAAAGAAAGAAAGAAAGAAAGAAAGAAAGAAAGAAAGAAAGAAAAAAAAAAAAAAGAAGAGGTGGAAGAAATAATAAAGAAACAAGATAGAAATAACGACAGAAGATAAAGTATAAATTAGATTTTATCGAAATGTGTCAAAGTTAAATAGAAAGTTTAAGTTTGCTTATTTTCTGTTTTTCCTTTTTCGTACTTTGGTGAATTATTTTCTTGAATCCCTGTTGTTTGCGTGCATTGATTTTTGTCGGTTTTTAAGCAAATAGTCATTTTCAAGCACGTATTTGCGTAGCCAGAAAAAAAAAACAACTACGTATTCGATATATTTATTTTGTCTCGTATTTTTAATTTGTTTCTAAATTGTTTCGTTTGTCCATATAAATTCATGCACTACACAAACGTATACGAAGTCGTGTTGAAAAGGGCCGACCGATTTCTGATAATCTGAACGAATCACATAGAATTGTTTTTAAGGTTTGCTGATTTGGCTGAGCACTTTCAGCATCATTCTTGTATGAACATTAGGTTGATGAAAAAAGTTACAGCATTTCTGTTGACAAAATATTTTATCCATATAAATTCAATCTTTTTGGTTATTTATAATATGACTTTTCCAACGTTTAGAATGGGTGATGCTATAAAATGGGTCTAACTATACCAAATCAAACAAGTACAAAAACTTAAATATCTGGAAAGCATTTTAACAAAAGGTGGCAAGTGCAATAGTGAAATCCGAAGGTGCATTGGGATAGCAAAAGATGTCTTCCAAAAGCTAAGCAGAAAATTAGCAAACAGAAAAATTTTGTTAAAAACAAAGAAAAGAGTACTGGAACTATTACAGAAAATCAGTCTTCCTCTATGGCAGTGAATGCCGGACAATCTCACAGATGAAAAAGAAACTTAAAGCAACAGAAGTGAGATTCTACAGAAGGATATTGAGAATACCGTGGGCCGAACATGTGAGCAACAACAAAGTTTTAGAGAAAATGGAAACAAAAAGGACACTTAAACTTAAAATCAGAAAGAAACAGTTGAAATCTTTAGGGTACGTAATGAAGAGAGAGAGCTTGGAAAATTTGATACTCACAGGACAGATTGAAGGCAGAAGGGAAAAAGAAAATCCACTCATAAACTACCAAGCGAACTCGAATAAATGGATGGTGGAACAAGTTTCAGGGGTGATAACAAAAAGAAAAAAACATTATTAAGAGCTACAAAGAACAGGACATTTGAGAAGCATCCATCTGTTTTTAAGAAAGTATTATTCGGGTTCAGTAAATAAGTTTTAGAGAAAATGGAAACAAAAAGGAGACTTATATTTAACACCAGGAAGTGACAGTTGAAATGTCTAGACACATAATTAGGAAAGATGGTTTCGAAAATCTGATATTCGCAGGACAGATTGAAAGCAAGAGGGTTAGAGGAAAACAAAACACAACGTACTTAGTGAGCTTGAGTAAGTGGATGGCAGAACAAAGGTTAGGAGAGATAAAAAAAAAACAGACTAAAATTATTAAGATCTACAAATAACAGGAAACTAGGAAGTGCCATGATCGCCTAAGGACACGATATATAGGTGAATGTGCCATGCTGAAAAGTCAAATGTCGAGTTCCATGCACACCCAGGAAAATTTTTTTTAAGTTTTTCGTTAATTCTGTATTCAAATGATCAAATTTTTCAGTATAGCGTTTCACAGTAAAAGATTGTACAGGGTACAGAATCCCACCAAGAATTATCACATTGAATCACATCAAGGATTTTCGCTTTGAAACCCTCCAAAGATTTTCGATCTAATGCAACCAAAGATATTTGTTCTGAATTCCATCACGGACTTTCGCTCTGAATCCCCAAGATTTTCGCTCGGAAACCTACCAAGAATTTTCGTTTTGAATACCACCAAATATTTTCTCTCTAAATCCTACCAATGATTTTAGCACGGAAATACATCACAAATTATTGCTCTGGATCCCACCAAAGACTTTCATTTTACATCCCACTAGTGTTTTTGCTCTGAATACTACCAAAGATTTTTACTCTAAAATACATCAACTATTTTAGATGTAAAACCCACCAAAGTTTTTCGTTCTGAATCCCACCAAGAATTTCCCCTTTGAACTCCACAAAAGATTTCACTTCGAATCCTACCAAAGATGAATTCCACCAAAGATTGTCGTTCTTAATTTCTTTTAGAATCACACCAAACAGGGATTTTCGCTGTGAAACCCACCAAGGATGTTCGCACAGAACGCTACCAAGAATTCTCGCCCTGAATCCCACCAAGGATTTTCGCTTTGCATACCATCAAAGATTTTCGCTCTGAATGTCTCCAAATATTTTCGCTTTGAATACCACCAAATATTTTCGTTTTCAAACCTATTAAAGATTTTTACTCTGAAACACAGCAAAGATTTTAGCTATAAATTCTAACAAAGATTTTCCATCCGAATAACAACCAAATTTTCGCTTTGAAACCCACCAACGATTTTCGTTGTTAATTATTCAAAAGATTTTCCTTTAGAATCACATCAATGATTTTTGCTCTGAATACCAAGGTGAATTTTCGCTTTGACACTGATCGAAGATTTTCGCTTTGAACACCACCAAAAAATTTCGGTTTGAGCCCACCAAAGATTTTTGTTCTGAACGGGTTTTCAATTTGAATCCCAGAAAGGATTTTAATTTGAAACACATCAAGGATTTTTTATCAGAATCAACAAAGTTTTTCGTTATGAAACCGTCCAAAGAAGGTGGCTATGAAATACAACAAAGAATTTCGCTCAGAATACTTCCTAGGATTTTCGCTTTGAATCCCACAAAAGATTTTCGCTCAGAATCCAAGCAAGGATTTCCGCTCTGAAACCAAGCAAAGATATTCGTTCTCAAACCTGAAAAAGTTTTTAGCTCAGAATCTCACCAAAGATTTTCGCTCAGAATCCCAGCAAGGATTTCCGCTCTGAGACCAAGCAAAGATATTCGCTCTGAAACTTAAAAATGGTTTTAGCGCAGAATCTCACTAAAGATTTCCGTTCAGAATCCCAACAAGGATTTCGGCTCTGAAACTAAGCAACGATATTCGCTCTGAAACCAAAATAATTTTCAGCGCTGAATCCCATCAAAGAGTTTCGCTCAGAATAGTATATACAAGTATATACACTTAGAAAAACCCCAAGGTTTTTGCCCTGAATTTGAAGTATTTTGGCTCTGAATTGCACATGATATTCGCTCGGAATCCAACAAAAGATATTCGCTTTGAATCACACCAACAGTTTTCGCTCTGAAGCCCACTAAAGTTTTTCGCTCCGAATCCCATCAGAGATTTTATCTCTTAGTATCACCAATGATTTTAGCTCTGATTCCTGCAAAAGATTTTCGCTACGGATCCCACCTAAGATTGTCGATGTGAAAAACGCCCAAAATTTTATCTTTGAATTTCACCAAACATTTTCGTTCTGAATCCCATAAAAGATTTTCACTTTGAATCTAAGCACAGATTTCTCCTGAATCTTACCAAAGATTTTCTTTCTGAATCCCACCCAAGATTTTCGGTGTGGACTTCACAAAGGATTTTCGCTGTGAACCCCACCAATTAATTTTGTTTTGAATCCCATCAAAGATTTTCGTTCTAAATTCCAACATGTGTTTTCTTTTGTTGGAACACAAGTATTTTCGCTCTGAATCATGCCATGAATTTCAATCTCAATCCAACCAAAAATGAATCGCACAATGGATTTTCATTTTGAATCCCACCAAATATTTTACTCTGAATCACACCAAACATTTTCGCTCTTAATCCCACCAAAGATTTGCGTTTTTAATCCCAGGAAAGGTTTTCGCTTCGAATCCCACCAAAGATTATCTCTCCGAAACATACGAAAGATTTTCGCTCCGAATCACACGAAAGATTTTCGCTCCGAATCACACAAAAGAAGTTCGTTCTGAATCCCACAGATTTTAGCTATGAATGCCAGTGAATATTTTCCTATTGTATCTCACCAAAGATTTTCGATGGAATCCAATAAAAGGTTTTCGCTCTGAAAACCACGAAAGATTTTACCTTTGATACAACCAAATAGTTTCATTCTGAATATCACCAACGATTTTCGCTTTGAATCCAAACAAATATCTTCACTCTCAATCCCAACAAACATTTTCGCTCAGAATCCCACCAAACATCGTGAATCCCATAAAGGATTTTCGCTTTGAAACCACCATAAGATTTTCGTTCTGAACCCAAACAAATAATTTCGTTTTGAATGCAACCAAAGATTTTCGGTCTCAATTGCAACATGGATTTTTAAAAGAATTTTTGATCGATCTGAATCACATCATTTTCGCCCGGAAACGCAGAAAATATTTTCACTCTGAATCCAATTTTCGCTTTGAAACACAACCAAGATATTTGCTCTGCATCCCACCAAAATTTTCTGTCTGATTTCCACCAAGGATTTTCGCTCCGAATCCCAAGTACTTTCGCTCTCAATTCCAACAAAGATTTTCACTGTGAAGACCACCAAAGATTTTCTTTTTGAATCACACCAAGAATATTCGCTCTGATTCCCATCTTATATTTTCCCTCTGAGCAACAACAAAGTTTTGCGCTTGAAAACCACATTTGTTTGCTCTAAATCTCACAAAAAGTATTCGTTTTCAATCTCAACAAAAATTATTAACCTGAATCTACACAAATTTTTCCGCTC